TATATCATCCTTCCTTTTCTCTGTTTTGTCTCTAACTGAATTAAAAGTTCTTTGGGTCAGGATTGCACTTGAATATCTGTATCTGCCTATAGCTACATAACCATGTCATTACAGAGACATTTAATAAATATTGCCAAATTAATAAATAAATGAGAGGTTCTCCTAAATATCTCCAAGTCTGTTGACTTTTTGGCTAGGGAAAACAGTTACTGTCCCATAAATATTATGAAGAAATATGGAGCCTTGAATTTTACTTGGACATTTGTGCTTTATTTTTATTTTATAAGACATCATTTAATTGAACATATATTTTGAAGAAATCATAAAAATCATAAATCTTTCATTCAAATGAAATTTGTTTAAAAGACATCATATGATTAGCATCTGGCTACATTGAAAATGAAGTCAATTTTTAAAAGAAAGTAAGTATCTGATAGAACAGAATTCATGTACAAAGTCTCATATTTTAAATATTAAATATATTGATTTGATCTTGAATACTTTCCTGTATTTCTCAATGCCTTTATTGTAAAAAAAAAAAAAAGAGAGAGAGAGCAGACCAAAACTGTTTTAATAATTATTTTTTTATTTATCATTATTATTATCATCTTTTAATTTGTTCTAGGACATGTACACACACTAGAGGAAGACAGAGAGCAAAAGTGAGAAAACAAGCCACCAGATCTGGGGCTCGAACCAGGGCCAGCCAAGTGGGAGTCCAGTTCTTCAGCCATCATGCCACCTGCTGGCTCCAATTCTTGCTAAGAATTAACTCGCAAACAAAACAGTTTGTGTCATGTAGAAACTAACTCAATAAAAATAGCTATGCTCAGTTTTCAGTTTGAAAGCAGTAATTTCATAATAAACAAGTGCTAGTGGCAGTCAGAAGGCTAACCAACTTGAGCAAAAAGAAAGCAAGCGATGAAAGAAGAATTGTAAGTTTTTGTGCATCCTTGTCTGATGCTGAGCACTGGCTCTCTGGGTAGGGCCCACAGCTTGATCTAGCTAAGGTCTACGATGAGCTTAGGACTCACACCAAGTTTAGGGCCTGAATTTGTATGCCCCGCCAATGATTTCCTAACTTTCTCCTAAGCAGATTTTTTTTAATGCAAAAATAATATTGTTGGAGGACTCTCCCCCGCTCCACACACAACTCAATAAAGCTTATATGTTTGCTATGTATCACTTAAACAGCAAATGCCACACAGCCACCATAAATTCAGTATCAATTTAAAATGAGTACATTTCACTAATCACAATAGAGACTCAATATTTATTTTTAAATAGTATGTATGTATGTATGTATGTGTAATCTATAGATAATATTTCAATTTACTAATCCCTTGGAAAAACAATCTCATTACTTCACTTTCTAGTTGGAAAGTTTTATGTGACATTATTATTTTCTTTCTGTCCTATCTTCAAATCTGTTTTGTACCTTTAAGAAAAATTATGATTGTACTTTATACTATGTGTATACATTTAACTGGACGATTAATGAAAATTGTTCCCAATTATTAAAAAAAAATATAGTATTTTGCGGAGGCAGTGGTAAATCTCTGATGTGTCATGATGGAGTCATTCCCGAAAAGTAATGGCTAGAAAATTGAGTAAACATAGGACCAATAAAGAAAAGGTTTCTTCACACGATGTGAAATCAGCCTACGGAAGAGCACATTGCTGTGGAAAATTTTGAGACAAGCACAAGGATTTTTTCACAATGATGATATCTCATGCTTGCAAGCAGCAGTTACAAAGTGAAAAAATTCCTCCCCACGTCAATGCCATGGAGTTGACTGTTGTCAGCTGTTGTCAGTGTGACCCTATTCTCCCCATCGTGTTGACACGCTATCCTTCTTTCAAGCACAACACCGTGTTGGATGAAAACAAGACATTAATGAAGACTAATACATTCTTCTTCCTGTCATTCCTTGAGAGGACCTGAAAGTTCCAGTGCACAGAATGAAGAAACTCTCTCAGTGGATACTCCATTCTTCTGAAATACTGTTTTCATTCTTTAGACACTTGAACTCCTTTTTTTCCCCTGATCCAATTTGTAGGATAAAACCCATTATGTAACGAGCAATCCCTTTTCCCAATTTCTTTTTTGAAAGATTTTTGCTATAGGTTGTATGCACTCACCAGAGAGACAGAAAGTGAGAAATCACCCCCTCCCCAGGGGATGGCCATACCACAGTACCTTCTCCTCCATTGTCCTCTCAGGATTTTTGGCATGCACACATACCTGGTGTGAGTTTTAAGCCACTAGGTCCAGGACTTGAACTGTGGTCAACTATGTGAGAGTCCAACGATGTAACCATTTCCTCATCTGCTGGTCTCCCTTTTGTCCTTTTATAAATGACCAAGTAAGTGAGAAGTCACTTACTGCCTGCTTGATAGATTCAACAACTAGAACTAGGAATCCAGCCTAGTTGGATTAACTTCTATCCTTTCATTGATTTAATTAATAAAATTTTTAAAATAGATTTTTGCTATAGAGCATGTGTGCTTGTTGGAGAGACAGAGAGGGACAGAAAGAAAGCAAGAAATCATCCCACCCCACCCGCCCCCAGGGAGATGGCTACACCACAATCCCTTCTGTCCTCTTCCTGGGATTTTAGGCATGCATGCACCCAGCATGAGTCTCAAACCACTGGGTCCAGGACTAGAACTGTGGTGGACTATGTGGGAGTTTAGCGCCATAACCACTGGCCCTAATTCATAATATTGATCACCTACCAAATACCACCATCTTAAGAACAATGTTTACATATAAGGTATGTCCTTTTTTTTTTTTTTTTTTCTATAGGGTGTGTGAGTTCCCCAGAGACAGAAATAGAGAGAGGGGAAAATGAGAAGTCACTACCCCCTCCAGGGAGGCTGGCCAAGCCACAAGACAATCCCTTCTCCTTCACTCTCCTCTTGGGATTTTGGGCATGCAAGCACATGTGCTCAGTGGTCAGGACTCAAACCAGAGTTGGCCATGTGGGATCCAGCCGCCTTAACCTCCATACCATCTTCTGTCCTTATAAAAGGTATTTTAAATGAGCACTAACTCTGAGCTAGGCACTATGCTAAACTTTCATTATTTTCCGTTGAGTTAGCTACTATTATTAGCTGTGGTTCAGATATGAGGAAACTCCGATCCTGGCTAGAAGACTGATTGCTCCAGGTTGTTTGACACCCTCAGCAACTAAAACCACCCACTCTCTGGCAGGTGACCCCACAAAGCAAACCAACCCATCTGGTCCAGGCTCCCCACCTCCTGCTGCAGGACTCTGAGAGGAGATGGAAAAGTTTGGGGAGTAGTTCTGGGCTGGTCAAAATGGTATTTTTTCATTCCTGAACCACTACTCTCAACTGCTCCAGAGTGGGAGGATGACATTACATAGCTTGTCCTAGAATTCACACACCAACAGTCTAAATCCTAATTCCAGCCACTGAAAGATGGATGGAATGATTTTGTTTCCAACATCAGTGTTCTAAAAAATAAAGTGCCTTGGGGTAACAGAGAGAAAAGCCACTCCCCCAAAATAAATACTTTAAACAACCAATATGAAGGGGCCAGCAGGTGGTGTGAAGGTTAAGGTGTTGTATTCTCACATGGCTGATCATGGCTCTAGTCCCAGACACTGTGGCTTGAAAATCACACCAGGAATGTGAGCATGGGTGCCCAAAATCCCAAGAGGAGAGGAAGGGATTGTGGCCATCTCCCATGGGGAGGGATGCTTTCCCCGTTTCCCTCTCTGTCTTGCTATGGCAAGCACGCACACACACTCTATGGCAAAAAAGCTAAAAAAGAAAAAAAAAATACAAAGGAGAAATAGAAAGGTAAAGCCTTAACATCCATCAGGTTCCATTTTCTATTCAAATCTGTTTGAGTACTGCCAACTTGACCCACTGTTCTTAGGCCCTACAGGGGAAGGGAAGACCATTTATGTGTATGTCCAGATTCCAACATATGACTTAAAAACAAAAGGTAAACCACCAAAAGCTGTTTTACCAGATGTTAGATACCAGATCTAGAATTTGATGAGTCTAGGGAGAAGATAAACACCAAGGCTGCAAGAGATCAGAAAGGCAAGAGATCTTAAGCCTGTGGTCTTAAGAAATCCAGGCCCTTGAGATGAACCCCGAAAATCTGACCAGAGCTGACTACCTGGGTGTATGGACAGCCATCCTCCCAAAATGCACTGCAACCCCAGAGGGAGAAAGAGTGGGAATAAGCAAAGGCTGAATGGCTCTTCTTGCAGCCTGGCCAGAGCGAGGCAATTTGGCTGGGGAGCTAGGACTCAGGATGAAGGTTGAGCTAGGGCGGGGGTGGACCTTGTCCAAAAGACAATGGGAGGTCATGGGAAGACTGTCCCGGGAATAGCAGAACAAAAGCCATGTTTGGTGACGTTAACTGAAAAGCTGATAGAGGACAAACAGGACAAAAGAAAAAATAACTTGGAGCTTTTGTTCCTAAGCACTATGCTGTGAGGTGATAACCTGATGCATGCGGGAAGCAGAGGGGCTGAGAGGGAAGGTGAAATGGAAAGGCATTTCTGGGCAGTGGGGCCACTGCAGACCTCAAGGAGGTTCACAAACAATGTTATCGCGGCTGAGATTAATCAGGCACACACACACAGCTCTCCCAGCTCTGGCCCTGGCTGGAAGACAGACTGCTTCAGGTTGTGTCTGTCACCCACAGCAACTAAAACCACCCACTCCCTGGCAGGTGACCCCACAAAGCAAACCAACCCATCTGGTCCAGGCTCCCCACCTCCTGCTGCAGGACTCTGAGAGGAGATGGAAAAGTTTGGGGAGTAGTCCCAGGACTGGTCAAAAGGACATTTTTTCATTCTTGAACCACTACTCTCAAGTGCTCCAGAGAGGGATGACATCCACAGCCAGTCCTCTGTCACTCCTCCCCGGGGCCGATTATGAAACCCTGGGAACTTTGCACCTCACCCTGCTAAGTCCTCGGCCCAAGGCCCCTCCCCGGGCTCATAAATGTCGCAGCGCGGCGCGGTTGAGTCCACTTGCCGGACAGGCCAGGTGTCAGAGAGACCCAGCGGACGCGTAGCTCCTGCAGTCTCTCCCCGGCGCTCCAGGTTCAGCCCGGTAGCGGGTCTGCGCCCCAGTGCGCCCCCTGCGGCCTCCGCCACCTAGCCCGAGCTCCAGCGCGCTTCGCCGCCGCGCTTCGCCGGCGCTCGCCCTGGGGAGCAGGATGGACGTGCGTCTCGCCGGCCGAGTCCCCGCGCTGCTGCTCTGTCTGGGTAAGCCCTCGCCCGCCCCCTCCGCCACTCCGAAGAGGAGCCGAACAGCTGGGTGCGGATGTCATTGGACAGCGACGGGGTTGTCCTCAGGGTTGAAATGGGCTCCTTTTCAAATGATGTCAACTGTCCTGGGAGTTGAGGATCGGCGTTACAATGCCTTCTATCCATAAGTATTGGCATGTGCTTTATGGATGAATTGATGTATCTCCTTAGTAGGCAAAATAAAAAGTTGAAAAGCTTCCGTCTTATTCTTCTGAATATTTGCCAATCTTAGGAACGCAAGGTTGACATTGCATGTTTTGTTCTTATTGGGGGCGTGGAGGATAGGGACCTTTTGAAAAGAAATTCTTTCCCATTTTGCATAATCTAGCCCGGATCACCTACCTGGAAGTTCAGTGTGCGCTGGTACCAGCTTGGCTGGAGCTCCAGATGCGGCAGAGTTAAACGCTGTGCTCAGGTCCCGGGAGCAGAAGGGACGCGGGCAGATCTGGCTCTTCGCACCACCTCTCTTGGCCCTACACCTGCAGCTTCCGGCTTCCCGCGCAGCAGCTCCGAAGGCTAGTCCGGGCGCTTTGCACTTGCTGCTAATCACACCGCGTATAATGGATAAGGCTATTTTAATGACAGTTTTCTTATTTGAGGAGATTTAGTTGTTGTGAACAGGAAAAAGAAGTCCTCATATAGCGTTTCATGTTTGAAAAGTGACTGACTACCTCTTCCCTAATTCTTTTAACTTCAAAGGAGTTTGGAGTAGCAGGGGAATAGATGAATAAGGAAGTACAAGTCTTAGATTCTTCCTGGAGTTGCAAGGAGGCCAACTCCCCTAGCACATTAATTCTGCCTGTGTAGGACGTGACAGTTAAATGATTATTTTGATATATCGTGTCTCAGGGGTGGGGGGGCCTAATGAAATGTATACCATCCATAGTTAGAATTTGCCTGTTTAAGCTCAGGAACACAGGTGGAAACCACCTATGGTTTTTGCCAAAAGTGAACTAAAAATGACTTGCCAGAAGATTGTCAGTAAGTATCATGACTTTGTTGTCTCTGTTTTGAGGCCTCTGTGAAAAGTAGATCATTAGAAAGGTGACAGTCTTTCTAGGGTTAGAAATTAATGTAGAGGTCAGAATGTCTTTGCAGTCCCCGCACCCCCCCACACACACCACATCACCTATAAGGTTGCATCTGAACACTCCAAGTGTCTGTTCTGGGTGTCTCATTGAATATTCTAATTTGAGACAGCAAGAACCTAGGAATAACCTGGTTACTACCCACCTAGTGCGTGTGCTGTGGGTGTTTTTGTTGTCATGAAAGTGCTTAAGTCCTTTATTGCATTACTAAATTATAGTTCACCTATTTCATCAGTCGCCAAGCCCGTTTCCAAATAAGCTAGGTCAGTTTCTGTTTTCCCAGTGTGTTTAGATATTTCTCTGCCACTGGTCAAGTTCCTGTTCGCGCTCTGTCTCGTTTCTCTGCGTTCTGTTCAGGTATGCAGGTCCTCTAGTCTTATGCTAAAGCACATGCCAGGAAAGCAGGGTCGCCTGTCATGTCAGAAACTCTCTCCCCACAACAAAAGGTTACCTAGAAATATTTTCCTCCATACTCTCTTCTTCAAAAGAAAGAGGTATTTATTTTGGATTTCAGCATACATTGTATCAGATTTCAGCCTAGATCATTATTTTTGTAGAACTTTTGTTCATTTATGACTGCGGGGGGTGGGGGGGAGTACCCTCCATCCCCAACACATGCAAAATTCAACATTTTTATTCATTCCTCCAAGAGTTTTTGAATATGTTCTTGAATAGCATCTCCAAGACAGTTCAGTCCTACTTCATAGTGAAATGAGAGAGAATTAAACAGAATAACCATTCGCTCTTGAAAATATGAGAAGTAGGAATCTCAGAGAGACAACCGGCTTTCCTGCTATTTTCTGTTGGCCTTGAGAGTTGTGAACTACCTGAGTCTCGGCACAACCTGAGAAGACACATCTTGGCTGGAAATACAACAGGCCCCTCCTATCTGGACTTCGATCCAGGTATCCTTGCAGCCTTCTGCACAGTCTTGCTAAGTGAGCAGTTTGGCTGATACTAGGTGCCTGGTTCAGCCACGGGGTTCAGATCCAGGAGCTGAGAAGGAAACTAGCTATTTCCAAACGCCGACTCTGCCAGCCATGTGTGAGTCAGGGGCTTTACACACATCAACTCACTGACTCCTTAAACTATGGTGAGGCAGGTACGATTGGCTGGGTTTTACAAAGACACGAAATGGAGTGAGATACCTTAGAAGGCCTTGGAGGGCCAGCTGGTGACGAGGTGGTTAAGGCACTGGACTCCTATGTAGCCAACTATAGTTCAAGTCCTGGACATGGTGGCCTGCCTCCTCACTTTATCTCTCCTTCTCTCTGGTGAGCACACGTGCCCTCTAACAAATTTAATAAAATAATAATAAATTAATGAAATAAAATAATTCTTGAAAAAAGGACTTAGAGATGGTAAATGGTAAGGTCACTCTCTAACGCTTTGTGAGGAACCAGGGTTAACAAGAGTAAAATAACAATAACAGGTTCCAGTAGAGAACTTCCAGAATATTCTGGGCTGGCCCAGATGTGAGACTTATTATAGGGACAACATATATGCAGAAATAGGCTTTTAACTCTTTTTGCAAAATCTGGCACAGAAAACACGTGATTGTTTCTTAACCTGTGCTAAAATGTGTAGAATATTTACTTACTGCCCATAATTTTTGATTACTATAGTTCTTAGAGTATGGCTGCTATTATAAAGCAGTTAATGAAATCAGTTGACGGAGGGCTTTATATTTTCTCAAATGTAATGTATAGTAAATAAAAGAACCAAGGAGAAATATACCTTATGGTTTTTATTTCTTGTATCCTTTTTATACTATTGTGCATTGAATATAGCATTGAAAGGGATCATGTTGAAATCTACAGCCCATTATTAACAGCAAGTAGACATAGTTTCTTTTTCCTTTTGTTTTAAGTACAATATTCACACAGTCTCTGGCAAAACTGAAGTTGAATATGTTCTGTCCAGTTTTGCACAAGAATCTCCCATTTCCTGGTTAATGGTCACCCCAGAGATGCAAATGTCAGGTAAGAAATCCTCTCCAAAGAGACTGTAAAGGCAGGTGTGGTTTTCTCATCCTTCCATCTTTGCTGTGAATATAGGCTTATGCAAATAGTCTAATTAGTATGGCTGTAACTGCTGCGGAGAACATTCCACTGGAAGACAATGGGCGGGCTCCTGAAAGTTGTAATAGAGCTCCTCAGGGAGAAGCAACCCGCCATCAACTTGGTATGAAGATTCCGGAGCCTTTGAAAAAAATGGGGTAATGTGACAGACTGTCTTCTAGCAATGCAGGTTGTGTAAGCCTGGGTGTCTAGTTAGACGGAAGGTGGAGGTTGTGCGACCTTCTAGGTTAGCGTAATGATTTAATTAACTGGGATGCTATTTATAATACTCATGATGATTTGACAATTGTCCAGAATAAATGTTAACCCTAAATTTTTAGGTAAAGAAATCCTCTATTTTCAATCTGAGGCATGAAAATGATTTGGCACACACACACATATGTATATATGCTAACCTTTATCATTTTCAATTAAAAGTCATAGGGTACAGTATAAGGATTTCACACCTCGGTTCTTTTCTTTCCTTTTTTTCTTTTGATTTTAACTTTTATGAAGCTAAGATTATCGATTTTTTTTTTTTTTAAACAGAGAACTTTACATTCTTTTGATTTCAATGTTTCTTCCCTGGCCCAGTTTCTTTATCTCATCCTTTTTGAAAGATTTGTTCCTTTGTGAGCTTCAGTTTTCTCATCGGTACAATGGAGATCATAAACTCTGTCTTGTCAGGGTGTTGTATATGGATATAATTAAATGATACTGGAAAATAATTAAAAATACTTTCATATTAGAGTTGTTATCATCATCCTCAAAGCGCTTTCTTACAAGAAGCCTTGAGTCTTAGAATAATGCCCTTTTAGGTAGGAAAGATAACTGTTCCCATTTTACCAGTGAAGGGATAGACTCAGAAGTCACAGCACGTAAGGCTCATGTCCGACTGTGCTGTGCCCCCTCGTCACTCTTGTCCTGTGGGGAAAGTTCTCCTTGTCCTTTAAGACTGAAGAAAACGGTCACTTCCTCAGGCAAATCTTCTCTGATAAACCCTGGCTATCTTCTGGATCTTGATAAACCTTCTCCTGATCTTGTGGAACTGTCTTGGTCACACCACACTGTATATGTGTATCCAACCCTGGCTATCCTTTCTGGAGCTACACTCATTTTTATTATTCATACTGTGGTAGGCTTCTATTAAAAACTCTGTTAATGTTTGTTAGAGGGACAATTAGATTGATACTGTATTCATAGTTCTCACCACTATATGTCTATCTAAAATATGTATACATTTTGTCCCCCTAGACAGTCTTCTTATATTGTGATCTTCCTGCTTCAGCCTCCTGAGTAGCTAGGATTATAGGCACATGTTGTTGACGCCTGACTTTTAGGGTAGGTAGGGAACCGAACTCGAACTCAGGCCTGCCATGTGGCTTCAGCCTGCCGAGTAGCAGTGTCAACCTGGGCATGCTACTGCAGTTAGGCCAGCTCACAACTATATTTTTGACTCGACTAGCTGCTCTTTGAAAATGTACTTGAGAAGCAAACATTTGAAGATTAAACAATTATTTTTCAAAGATCAAATCTGTTGTATCTGATAAAGTCTAATATTTTCCCCTTTCTTTAACATTTCTATCTCCTATTATAGTCTGTATTCACTGATGATTTGCCTACCAAAACTAAAGTATATTTGCTCCGTGTGTGTGTGTGTGTGTGTGTGTGTGTGTATGAGAGAGAGAGATTACTGAGCAATATGACTGATCATGGATAGCCAGTAGGAGAAAGAAACGTATTGCTTCAGAAATGAAAGGAACTTTACAGTAATCCAATCCAAACTCCATCTCCCACTCTACCCCACCCT